GTGTGTGTGTGTGTGTGTGTGTGTGTGTGTGTGTGTGTGTGAGAGAGACTTTTCATGGACACCGACTGCACTTTAAATCATGAATGTTAAGATGAAAAGTGATTTCTTGTACTTCTACTAACATGCACTCCCCCATTATTACCTGCGGCTCAGAGTTGCCACTCAGTTCTTGGATGCCTGACTGTGAAATAGATGTGGAGCGCTGCGACTGTCTTCCCAGACCTGTGCCAACCCAGGAGCCGAGACGGACTCAACGCTGCCAATTCAACTCTTCCATCTGTGCTCACAGGAAGCAGCATTTCGATCAAGCCTCCTGCAGGTAAGAGCAGCAAGACAGATGCTTCAGAATAAAATCATTTCTTTATTTAAACTAGTCTGATATAGATTTAGGCTGTTTTTATTCAAAAGATTCTCTTGGATACACATTTTAGAGAAAGTCAAAACTGTTGATATTACACTGAATCCCCATTATCTCAGCTGCACATTGTATGTTTCTAGCCCCATGTTGTTCTGTAGAGTAGCTGAGAATAGACCCCCCCAATAAAAACAGATTTAGTCTCATCCACACTCAGCCCACCTCCTAAATATCCCTGATTTCTTTAATCAAAATCCATGAAGTGCTCCCTGAGAAAATGAAAAAATGTAATGCCTAAAAACAACAGTTTTGTAATGGTAAAAAAAGCGAATAAAAGAAATACCTGCATCTGTGACTTTCTCCGGATCCACTCAAAAATATAATGAATTTTTTCTTGGCCCATGTCTCATCTTTCCACCAAGTTTCGTGGAAATCCGTTGTTTTTGTGTCATCTTGCTCACAAACAAACCAGCGGGTGAAAACATGACCTCCTATAGGAGGGGGATATTAAACCAGTGAAGGGAAACAGCGATATAAAGAGGATGAAAGATTAGAGTCAGTGAAGACATATTCACAGCTGTTACATGCAGGATGACGTGAATAAACAGTTTCTAAATGATCCCTTTTTTATTCACAGATGCAGATGGCCCAAGTAGAATTCCACCGGGGAAACAAATGATGACAACCTGCTCAGAAGTGAAGGCAGAGAAAAAAGGCTCATAATTTATTTACAGTCCTATTTATGCGGATCACTTTAACTAATTAAGATGATATTAACTCACAAGATTGTGTTAATTGATTTTACTTTAACATTCTTACGTTATGTCTCAATCAATGTGTCAAGTTTGTTTTGTACATTTGTTCTTTGTGCACTGAATATGTAGTTTATATTAAAAGATTATTTTTATAATTTGAATTTGCTATGAATGTATGAGTTATTACTGAACTCCTTTTTTTGTCTTGGGCTTCTCATGAATGAAGCTGTTGAGTAAACAATACCCAGTTAATCTTGTCACTCCTGAAATATAGTAAGGATACTGTAACTGAGACCATTCAGTCTATAAAAATGATTCACCCTCTGGAAGTTTTCATGTTTTACATCCAGTCAAAAGAGATTTAACCTGTTTGTTAACCTGATTCTTAAATCTCTGAGTAAAAGTTGAACTTAAGCTGGACACGAGAAACTTTTCTTTGAAGTGTGTGTCATTAGCTGGTCAGTTGAGTTGATATTCTAGCATTTGACGTCTTGTCACTCACTGGCACCGTTGACTCTTTGAAAAGCAGTTTGTGATGAATTATGGGATACGTTGGGCTCCCTCGTTGGAGCCTTCATTTATCGGGGATGTAAGGACGCATCTAAAGGAGCCCTCAAAATGGGACAGCCTTTTCCGCCAATGTAATTCATTCAGTCTTTAAATGAATTCATTGGACTGATTCTTTAGCAGTTTCTCAATACAGTCTGTCCAGGGTGTATACCTCGCCTATCGGCTCCCGATCCTTGTGACCGGCAGCACATTGAGAAGATGGATGTATGGACAATGAGCCTGAAGCATAATGTCAATGCACTCGAGGTCTCTATTCAGAATTCATTGAGAATATGAATATGTGGAGCTTTCATTCATGATCTCAGTGCAGAGATGGAGCAGTTTAACAAAGAAACAGGACAAATTGTCCTCGTGCAAAAACTGTGTCCGCTCAAACTCAAGGCTTGATTTCTGCCTAAAGTGCATCCACTCAAAAACATTGATGTGGAGGAAGTGATAACAGCTGCAAACAGGTACTTTACATTACTTCACATATGTTTTTCTCTTTGTCAACCTGTTGATTAGAGTAAAAAAGCCACAGTACTTTTAACCAATGTTGCAAGAAAATAAAAATACATTTTTTTGAGACGCTGTATGAGCAGCTGTGTTGCTGTTGTGATATTTGCTGCATTGCTCTCTGCTCGGAATCTGGGAATCTTTTTTTAGTCAGACGGTGGCAGATTTGATAAAAATCTACACCTCTATCATTTTATATTGGATTAAGTGTTTGAGCTTCCAGATGAAATTTGGATTTTGTATTTCTCCATATCTGTAAAATGTAAACATCATAGCTTGCCGTATACGTGCCTCCTTATTTTCTTTAAATGGATTTTGTGACTGTCATATTGTTGTTGAAGATACCAGAATATTTTCCTGTTATTTTGTCTCTGGTATTGTGTCGACCTATCCATCCACCCTCATACTGATAACCTTTATTGCCTCTCTCTGCTCTCATCAGACGTACTATGGCCACTAGAGGTCGCCCAACAAAACTATTTTTGCATTGTAAAAAGCTGCTGAACCTATAGGTTTGTTTTTTTAAGATAAGATAAGATGATCCTTTATTAGTTCCACGATGGGGAAATTAGGAAGGTTTGTCAAAGCTTGTGAGCCGTTATCCTTGATTCATCTAAATTCTGACTTTCTAATATTCTAATGCTACATATGAGACACCACAAAAGACAAATGCATCAAAATAAAACATTTCCAAAACAGGTGAAATTTTGTAGAAGGAATCACCTACAGGCATTAAAATGTATTCTTATTTATCTATTATTCCAGAATACAGTATATAGGGTTGCATAGAGTAGATACAAGTTAAAATAAAACTGAAATAAAGGTTGGAGTTTGGATTTAATCTAAACCTCAGTGAAAAATAAATCCTTCAGATTCATAAATATAAAAAGAATCTTCAATATGTTATTGTCCAAATAAAAATAATTTTCACATAAAAGGTTTCAGGTTTCCTTTATTGGCAGGAAAAAACTAAATCATAAAAACTTTTTTGCTGTCAATCCTGAAAATAGTCAAAGCTAACAAAGCAAAATTAAATTAAGAATTAAATCCAAGACAAATACCATATACAGCATAAACCTATGTTATTATAACAATAATTAAAAGTAAATAAAATGCGAATATAAAATAATAATATCTTCCTTTTAATCATATGCAAGAGCAGAGATCAAGAACATGGCACCAAAAGTAATCAATTGATTTATACGACAGTTTAAGAGCATGAGGAACAATGTTCAGAGACAGATAAAAACAGATAACTGATGGTGCAAAGTGGCCCAGTGTCACAAATGATAAATTCTGTCAACAAGTGAGAAACTTCCCATGAGACGACACTGACATCAACTGTGAGAAAAACGTCGACATTTCAGCTCTTTGATGTGCTTTGATAGTTCTGACACTTTGTATTTGGTCGCTTCCCAGGCAGGCGGGCATGTAGCAAAGGTGCCAACCACATGTGGATCAATATGCTGCTCAGTCAACACTGACCTTTAGAGAGACCGTGTATTTCGGTGTTTTTATTTTTTTCCCTCCTATTCAGACAGCTCTGAGTAAACAAGGCCCCTTTCACATCTAAATTTTACATTACTAGAATGAAAATGTCCAGAGCAACTGATTCAGACATTTGCATTCTTTTTTTTAACATTTTATTTATGATTTTTTTTATAATACACCCATGCATCCCACATAGCAGAATTGTTTCTCACATCTGACTCACATACTGCATGAAATGATGGCACTTGGGCGGTCTGCTCCTGTTTGCCAGATCTGGGTCACAGGTAAGCCATCACGTGTCAACCAAATGAGCCAAAGGTGCTGCTATTTGGGCCATGTTTACCATATGGACCACTTTAGATTTACATCCAGATTACACCTTGCAATGATCAAGAACCTAAAGTGATCCATGTAAATGATGAATATGGCCCAAATAGCACAAAATTCCAACTTTTGGTTGATATGTGGTGTTGCTGTGGCTTACTTGTGGCCCAGTTCTGGTGAACAGGAGTGGATTGCCTTTGTGCCATCATTCCATGTGGTATGTGGGCCAAATCTGGGTCGAAACTATTTTACAATGTGGGGGTCTCTACAAATCCTTTCTTTAAATAATTATACTTTATGTCATATCCTGCAGGTGCGACTGTGAGAGTTGCTTGTGCACGATTCTGTCCAGCATCATGAAAACGTTTGTTCCTGCTCTTCCTATTGTCCTGTGTTTCAGATCTCATCTTTTCAGATTTAAATGTATTGCAGGATTCATCTTCTCGCAGTACTTTCCTTATTGCATGTATTCATTGTGCTTGAAAAACACAGAGCAATACTTTTCAGCAGGTAGAACTTTAAAAAAAGGTATTTCATGCATGTGTGAATGTGCTTTTATTTATCTTGATGTAATCTTTCTTTACTTCCACTAAAAAGATACTTGAAACTGATCTGTATTTACATTGCAGAGTTTCCACAGACTATAAAGATGACATGTTAAGTAGAAGGTTGAGACCATGCAGGACAGAAATTTGGCAACAGACTCGCACCACAATTAAACAAACACTATCCAGACTGAATTATCCACCCACTCGTCACAACCTGGGCATGATCCTGTCCCTGTGTGAAGCACCAAATTAGGAAACTGTGGTGTGATATGGTGACTGTAAATCTATGTGACAGTGCAGAATAATCATGTCTAGTCAACAGTGGTGCTGAAATTATGTGATGTATACACACGACCGAGACCGTAAGAATAACTCAAGTATAAAAGGTGCACAAGGATTCACTGTCACTTTGCAATATAATGCAGAGAATGATTAAATGAAGTTATATTTATTTCACATTATTTTCTGCTTAGAGAAAACTAGTCTAAACCTTTGTCAGTTTAATTACTGCATGTCAATTGGATCAACACAACTAGAACAAACACGAACAGACACGTCACATAATCCCGACACTAAATTACAAATGTGATCTCAAACACATGCGCTCACGTTCATGGTTTAATATACAGCCTGTAACCAGAGGACGGCTTACATTAAAGAACATCTCTGCTTTAAATTTCACAGTGATCACAACACCTGACATTTAGAAATATACACATACACACAGCAATATGGTGCACGTAGAGTTTCACACATCAATATTCAGTATCATATCCATCTACATGAAAAATATCCCCCTGTGGAGCACAGTGAATGAACTTTCTTATGTAGGCAGCAGCCCTGCAGATGTAAACAATCTTGTTTAATATAGTTCTGTCCTGAATTCATGTTTGAAAGGGATTTCATTCACTTCAGTGAAGGAAGGTCTGGTTATCATCCTCATATCTTTATTTTTATGCTGCCTGCTCTAAAGGCATGGGTTTCTACTTCACCGCTGCAAAATAATATTATTCTTCATATCTCTATTTTAGAAGAACAGGGTCAGAGTTTGTACTTGTATCTATGTTTTACACATCGTTTGTTTTCTGCTTTGTATCAGCACATAAATGTTCACATCTTTTTTATACTACATCTATGCGTTGTCTCACCACTTATTTGTCCACAGGTTTCATTCACACAAACAAATGCAAATATTTTTTACACAACCACAAACTTGAATATCTCATGCAGATTTATTTAACAGGTTCCCAAAGGTTACAGCAAAAAAAAGTTATGAATTAATGTAAATGTTGTCTAACTGACCCTTATTTATCCTCGAGCACCATGAGGTGTCCTGTTGAGCGAAACATTTCAAAACCTGTTCGATGGATTGCCATGATAACCTGTATACACTTTGACATTGGTTTTTCCGAAACTTTGGTTTAAAACCAAATATCTGTCAGATAAAAATTACATTCTCATCAGCCTCAGCTGCATGTTGTTTTATTTTGTGTTAATCTGCACATGTCAGCAGCCAAACCCAGATTGTCAAAACCAGAGACTGTAAATAAAGATGGATGTCACGTCTCCACTTTCCCCCACTATCCAGAAATGAAGCCAAAATGTCCTGGATACGAACGCTGCCATCTTCAAGTAGAGCCAGAGTCATTCAGTCTGTCGACTGGGGGTGGAGCTGCTGTATCGAGGTCCTGTCAATGTACACACTCAACCACTGATGAGTCAGTCTCAGCTGTCAATCATGACGTTTCACCCCGTTTTTATAGAATCAAATAGCTAATTACAACCAAACTTAAAGTTACATTTGGGATTAGAACAAATGACAGAAACCATCTTTGAGAAAAAGTTATATAATGGGTACTTTTTAGTTTGGTCCATGTCCCATCTACTAACATGGAGGACGCAGGGTTTAGGACCTATACTGTTGCTGGCTACCAGGTAACACTATGATTTTACTTTGGGTGAGCAGCCATGTCATCCATCTTTATATACAGTCCAGTTACTATACAGTCCATGGTCAGAATGCTCATGTGAAAAAACCCTGTGATCAGTTGAAGCGTTGCTGCACTTTAATACACAACTGGTGTGAGTGAAGATGTGAAGTCTGGTCCTGAGCTGTGATAGGTCATCACTCAACATTCTGTTGTGTCCAAATGTATTTTTAACAAGCTGCACTTTATTTGTTTTTGTGGTGAGTGGAAAAGTGGTGTTATTATTTGGAGAACACACATTCACATACAAACACACACTACACAACACTACACACACACACACACACACACACACACACTCTCACACTCACTCACACACAGTCCTCCTGATAGATCTGCCTGCCGTTGATGATGCTCAGACTGGCCACAGAGCAGTGTGTGCTGCGGATGGAGGTCACACGTGTGTTGTAATGTGTCGGGCTCTGTGAGGAGTGTTTCATGATCATATGACAGCAGCAGCACAACTGCTGCTTGAATTGCTTCCTGAAGGTCTTGCTCAGCAGGTAAAGGGCGAACGGGTTGAGACAGGAGTTGGTGAAGGCCAGGATACGAGCTGCGACACTGCACACAAAGTGAACCAGCGAGGTGTCCACCTGGCCGGGGGAAAGACAGAGGGTAAAAAACTGAGAAATGCTGCATGTATCAGTGTACTACAATGCAAACAAATACAAATACAGCATTTGGACCTTAAGGTACTATGAATGAACAGAATCTGAATTGTGGCAGTATAATATTCAACCAGATTATTCTAATCTGCTTCACAAAATTAAATGATGCAAAATGACCCAATAAGTGACTGTGGCCATCTCTCATTTTTATTTTACACCACTTTGAACTATTTGTATCACCTGATAAAATTCTGACTTGTGTTTTCCCAGTGTTAAAGTCAGTTCCACCATTTATTTCTTACTTGACCGTTAACATCTGCACAGTTGATAACTCATACACTTATTTAGCTACATGGTTAAGATATTATGTTATAAAACATATTGTTTTAGGGAGGAATGTAAGTGTCAGTTGAAAATGATTTAATATCACATACAGACTACACTACACAACATAATCCTAGTGTACAAACAAGAAAAAAACAAATCGGAAAATATAGTCAGTCAGTGATTTAATGTACCTGGGAGTAGTGATAGCAGCGATACAAGTAGATGATGTGACTGGGAAGCCAGCAAACAGCAAAGAGGCCAACAAACACCAGCACTGTCTTCGCCAAACGCTTTCTTGATTCAACCTGCGGGTTATTGAAAAAACTTCAAACCAAAAAGCAATGCTGGTAAACAGAGGAGACATCTAAACTTAAAGAAGAGAAAAATTTTTAATACATTTTTAATTACATTTGTGCAACATTAAACAAAATGTTACTGAGGTTATGTTGTTTACATTATTTCTGAGAATTCGGGGGGCTACATGCTAAATTGAAACAACCACAAACACATTGTGGGTATATAACAAAGTGATTCCAGTATTTTAAGCGTTTGTATTTACATTTTCTCTGTAATTTTATTTCTTAGTAGTAAGTTAGTTTGTAGATGTTAAATCTTAATTGTCGTTTGTGTGGAAAATGGTTTAAAGTAACTAAAATAATTTTCAGAAAGTATTTATAGACTTAAATAATGAAATTTCATTTGCATATTGTAAATGATGCCAGCGATAATGCTAACACTAGCCTGTCGTTTCGCGTGCATGTTGCCCTCTACAGGCAGGTTTGAGGCACTCCTCATCAGGCTCTGGGCAATGAAGGTGTAGTACACAGAGATGACCAGCAGGGGAATGACATAGAAGATGAGGAAGGAGGCCATGGAGTGGATCTTCGGGTGTAGATCCCCAGCATGTGGGTAAGGTGCGCAGGTTTTGAAGCTTTCATTGGTGGAGGTGAGGTTGAAAGTGTGGAGGTCAGAGAAGACAGCCTCAGGGATCGCAAGGACCAGGGAAAAGAGCCAGATGAGAGCTGCCCTCAGGACAATGCTGCTTGTGGTGGTTGATTTTTGGATGTCCAGTGGCTTCACTATGGCCTTGTACCTAAACAAAGAAAGGTAGGTAGATAGGAAGGTAGATAGGTAGGTAGGTAGGGTAGGGTAGGAAGGAAGGAAGGAAGGTAGGTAGGTAGGTTGGAAGGAAGAAAGGTAGTTAGGTAGGCAGGTTGTTAGGTTGGTAGGTAGGAAGGTAGGTAAGAAGGTAGGTAGGTAGGTAGGTAGGAAGGTTGGTAGGTAGGTAGGTAGGTAAGAAGGTAGGTAGGTAGGTGTGTAAGAATTTAGGTAGCTAGGTAGGCAGGTTGTTAGGTTGGTAGGTAGGAAGGTAGGTAAGAAGGTAGGCAGGTAGATAGGAAGGTTGGTAGGTAGATTGGTAGGTATGTATGTAGGTAGGTGCGTAAGAATTTAGGTAGGTTGGTAGGTAGGTAGGTAGGTTGGTAGGTAAGAAGGTGGGCAGGTAGGTAGGAAGGTACATTGGTAGGTAGGTTGGTAAGATTTTAGGTGGTTTTCGACTCAGTAAGTTTCAAGTAAGTTTGGGTTTGATAACATATTTGATGCTTCATCTCTGTGAATGATCATTATAAAGGCTTTATTTTGTTATGATTTGATCTCCTCTTCTTGATATACATTAAATGTGGTGGTTACAATTTTACAAAGAACTGTATCATCCACCACATATAAACAGAAGTTGCTGCAGGACTGTTATATTAGACTGTTTAGTTTTAGTGACGATACAAACATTTTAGTTTAGTCGGACGGCACAATGATGCACTGTTGCTTTGTTGTCCTTGTGCCTGTGTGGCTCCGTTTAAAAACATGCATCTGAGGTGCAAAGAAAATGGCCGGATGTGTAAATGTGAGCATGCATGTGACAGACAGACAACCTTATACTATCCTTATCTAAAAATAGACCTCACTCTAATAACACATATAATAACATAACATTGCCATCGTATCTAGGCAACACCGCTTGGGTCATGGAAACAACAGGACTCACCATAGTTCCGCCTCATTCATAAAAGTTGCGTACATGCAGGAGCAGCCAAAAAAGCACACAGACCCTTTTACACAAGCTGTGTGTGGTAATAATACTAATAATAATAATAATAATCCCTCATTGTTTACATCACCACCCAACACCACCCAACAAGCTTCAGCCTTCGAGCTGAAAACTGGAAGCTTTGATGAAAATTTGAATTGTACGATGACACAGTCGAAATGTCTGTTATTGTTTTTTGGTAGTGTTTTCATCTTCAGATAATGAACCATTTTAATTACAGTGCTCCCCTCCCGCACATGCAAATGTTTCAGCAAAAAATAAGTTCCACCCCGCCCCTATTGTGCAGACAACACAGATGATTATCACTGATACATATTAAATAAGAACAGCCAGAGCTTTTTCTCCTCCTGTAGTAGAATGATATCTAAACAAGTGGCAAAAGTTTGCCAGACCTTTGTCCAGCACCGACTCAGAGCTGTGGACAGATCTGACAGTGACAGAAGAGCTGATGATGACAAAGCAAAGGCACACAAGTTTGTGTGGTATAGACAGACACTGGGGATTAGTGAAATGTGAAATGTTTGGGTAAACCCATCAACACTCACCTCTTCAGCGGCGGCTTCACCTCAGATGCATTAACGCTCGCTAACATTTCAAACACCTTCCTGTTGCTGCAGCATTCAATTAAAATTATTGATTACCAATAACACACAGAGGAGCTTGTCCGGCTGAACAAAAAACATGTTGTTAACTTTTTAACAGCAGCAGACTTTCTTTCTTTGGACGAGCGGCTTCAACGACGGAGCTTATAGAACACTTTTTACTATTTATAATTTCTATTCTCATCAAGGAAAATGTAAAATAATATTATGGATCCACGCCCTGATCCACATCCGCACCAGAATTTAAGTGGTTTACTATAGTTTTACTATTTAATTATTTTTTTTGTATTTGTACTTTTAGCCTATGTATGTAAAATGTCTAGCCTTCTTCCTCCACCATCTGTATGTCTTCCATTGCTGTATGCCACATTGCCATGTGACAATCTATCATTCATCATGTGACCAGTGTTTTCACTAGGGCCAAAAATGTTAACAAAGTCACAATTTTCATATCGATAAGAATAAATAAATAAAATTAAATATAATAAACTTTTGTGCTTAAAGACTGAGTCTTGCTCCCGATTGAAGGCCTCACTTTTAATGAGCAAAGGATTACAAACACTTTACAAACCTGATGTAGAACATTAAAACCAATTACGTATCTGTTATAACTCCTCACCAGGCTTGCTTTAGGCAATGCTATTGAGCTTTATATTATTTATGTATTTATTAGGTTATATTGCTTTTGATGAAAATGATATTTTGATAAATGTTTTATTGTTTGTTTAATTTTATCACCCAGTCCTAGATTTGATTTTTAAACATTAATGAATCACCGTCTCAATCCAAGTTGTGGCTGCAGGAATGAGTCCAGTGAAGCTTTAATGTGAGTTTCATAAAGTTTTTATCTAATTATAATTTTTATTTGTCTGGTTCCTCGCTCTTATCAAAAGATAGTGAGTTGATAGGAGCAGAAGAGTCTCATGTTGTGCAGCTTAATGAGGAGTTTCTGTTACTGAGAGCAAATTACACAGTGACCATGAGAGGGGGAGATAAAGAGGAAAAGTAAAACACCCACATAAACAGCACAGCAGCTTATTAGGACTTTATATTGACTTCCATTCATCATGAATGGCCAAACCAAAACCTTATCTCTGAACCAAGATCAATGCATGCATGTTGTTCATTTTCACACACATACACACACACTTACATTGATTTCCAAGAGACTTACTCTAACCCTAACCATTACTCATCTCACCCCTTATCTTAATCTGAATCTTAACTTTAACCCAGATTTAAGCTTTCTTTATGGGGACTTGATTTTTCTCTCCATATGTAGGAGAAGTCCCCATAATGTGAAAACAGATTTAGGTCCCCAATACTATAACCACACAAACCACACATACTCTCTCTCTCGCTCTCTCTCTCTCTCTCTCTCACACACACACACACACACACACACACACACACCTGAAACATGTTCTCCACACTGTCAACAGTCTGTCGTGCGTAAAACTCCTCTGACCAGCACACGTGTGTAAATATTTGTTCACCATTTAAGACAACAACAATACATGTAAAGGAAAACATTTGTATTGTTCCTTTTATATTATGATGTAAAGCACTTTGAATTGCCATGATCTATAATCTGGTTACCAGGGTCATTCATAAAATGAGTCCTGGTCAGTATAAGAATGACACCAGAGGTGGGAGCCTACCTGTCAGCAGAGAGAGCTGTGAGAGTGAACACCGACACGCCAACCGAGGTGAGCTGAATGAAGGGGATGACTTTACAGCCCACTCTGCCGAACAGCCACTCCTCTGACAGGTAGCGGCTGGCGTCCACCGGAGCGCAGGTCACCAGCAGCAACACGTCCCCGAGCGCCAGGCTCGACATGAAGAGGTTGGGCACATTGCGCATAGACTTGGCCGAGCAGAACGTCTTGATGAGGGTGATGTTGCCGATCAGACCCAACACGCTGATGACACCGTAAACCGAAGCGATGGCCACGCCGGAGAACCACATCGTCCGCGCCGGGGCTTTGGAGAGGAGTGACGTTGCGCGCGTTTGGCTGCAGATGTCCTCCCACCGTCACACCAGCTGATGCTCGAGAGATTTCTGTTAAAAAATAGTTCGAACTGAAACACGGATTAGCTTTTCAGGTTAAGGAGAGAAGAGAAAACTACTGAGCGGAATTTTGTGTCCAACTTCGCGTGTTACTCCATAGGGGCTGTCACCCAGTGCGCACTACTTACCCAGCATGCGCCAATACAGAACAGAACGATCAATATGAATGTCTGTGGGATTGAAATAACGAGATAAAACAATACGATATTCAATATAACATAAAAGATTTTAAATTCTTTATAAACATTTTAGAGAAGCATACAATGATTGGTTTAAAAAGAGACATTTACATAATTTTCTTTTAAACGTGAAAATATTTATCTTTTTATTTCCTCTTTTCCTGGATTATAATGAATTCATGTTTTTCCTGTCAAAGTGAACGAGCAGCATGGTGAAATGACAGATACATGCACAGACTCACTGTTCATTAACTCACCTGACTCTGACAACACTGTCCTGTACCTTGTTACACTTTCAGGTAGAACTGCATTTAGGGGAGTTGTTTTTTGTGTTTGTCTATTTTATTATAAATCTAAAGCAAACATCATATGACAGAGTTAGATGCACTGTGAACAGTGTATGAATATCAACTAGAATGGTACTCAATGGAGCACAAACCTCCACACAATCCCCTTAAATTCAATCAAGCTACGCCAAATTGCACACACTTATAAAAACTTTTTTTTTTTCATCGAGATCCATGAATTATTCTCGGGGAAATCAGTAAACATGTCCAACAAATATGTTAAAGAAAGTGGCTCCTGGATCTACATCAAAATTCAATGAGTTCCTTTCTGACCCACAGTGCATCGTTCAAGTTTTATGGTAATCCATGCTGTGTTTTTTTGCATAATCTTGTTTACAGGCAAACAAATGAACAGGGATGAAAACACAACCTCCTCAGCTGAGGTGATTAACCTGAAATGCAAATTCCAAGGAGTCCTCAACAGGGGAGCTCGTCTTCTGGAAATTAATTGCAGTGCAGCTCTAACTTGTTTCACTAATCTGCAATTGAGCAATTTGACCTTTTCTTTTGTTCGCTATATTCACAGTATGTTTCAACTGAAAGAAAGGAGCAGCATGAGAGAGCAAAGATTTGTCTGAAGGTTTTCTGGAGTGAAAGAGAAAAACTGGACTTCTCTTTTATTTTCTGCCCAGGAAATCTTTCAGAAATCACTGAGTGTGTCACCTTCTGAGTGCATCAGGGCACAGTTATGTTTTTATCTGCTTCTAAGAGTCATCATTTAATCACCTTTTTCCTTATTTCCAATCACATATGACTTATTAATTATTTCATAGTCAGTGTAATTACTTTTTGATGACGAGCTGGAAATTCAAATAAGCCTTTTTTAACTTTCTTTTCCCACTTATCCATTCGCTATGTGTTACTGCTACCAGCGATTATCCTATGTTATTAAAATATTTTTTAATTGAAGCAGTCTGCACTGTTATTATTTATAAGTGCACTTCTATGCCTCCTGCTTTTAGTGATAGACGGCAGTGAGAGGTGCTGAAAAGGATGTGCTGCTAATTAGTGTGGCTGTATTTGCTCAGCTAATTTTGACTGAGCATATACAGCCACATTCTGTGAGGTCGCACTGAGATACCAATGTCACTGACTTAAGCCAATGGCGATGGAATACTTTTGCAAATATTTTGTCTTCATGAAAAGTAATGGACAAATAATAATTTGACCAGATGGTGGTGCAAGAGGAAAATTAAAGGAATGATGATTTATTTACCATTATGATTTATTTATAAACCCTAAAGGATGAAGTTGCTCTTGGAAACTATATGTTAAGATTCTGTGCTCAGGCTCCGGTCATTTGAAACTATGACCAATGTCAAAAGTCTGAAAGCACTTGAGATTCATTAACCTGAGGGCGATGTCATGTCATTCTTCTTTGAAGGTTGTGAGATGGAGATGTTTTTCACAAACAAACAAATGTACCTGATCCCCTGCTACCTGCAGTTTCTCCACAGACTCGGGATAATGAACCTCCACAACTACCAGAGATGAAAACAGGGGGCCACTGGTCCATCAGCAGGCTCTCAAGTAGGGACATGATCCATGAAGACTCCCCTCACAGGTGAAGCATTAACACATTTCTTCAACACAGACATCACAGAGGCAAGCACAGAAATAACAATGACCAGTAATCCAGCTGAGATGTAATATGCGACTGAGAAAGAACATCTCTAATCCCCGTCTGTGGTTTGTCAAGAGCCGCCAGGCAACATTATGTGCTTTAATTGTATGAGATGGCAAACGAAAGGTAGCTTGGGGTCCGGAGTCATTATGTGGAGGCGAGATAAGACTGCCGGGAGCACAAGTGATGAAATTGGTTGTGGTGTTAAGCAGGGGAAACCAGAGGCAAAAAGAAAGGAGCCTTGAGGTGAAAGGGTGGGGAAACATTCTCAATGGCATATATAGATATACGTTTATGTTTGAACAGTATATACATGCATCTGTGCATTTACATGTGTCAATGAAAAAAAGCCACATTTAGGCAAGAAAAGACTGTGAAAATACAATAAAGTAAATGAGTCACTTATATGAGTCAGGCACAAAATGTCACATAAATATCAAGCCCAAGATGATCAATACAGCGGAAATACACAGTTTAATTGTCCTTCGTAACAGTAACGCCTGTCTGAAATGTGGTTTAGCACAAAATGCCACACTGAAGCTCTTGTGAACTTGAACAGAGCTGCACAAACTGCTGCACAGAATAACATATGTTTATTTATATTTATCTATTTATGTCACATCTACACTTATTCACTCCTGTTGGGAAACTCCAGTTTAAAAAAAAAACATTTATGTAAAATATTTCACCCGCACTGGAACATCAAGGTCCCTTGAGTGATATTCTCATAGCATCTTTTTGATCAACCTCCTTCTTTCACCCTGCTTATTTCTAGTTTGACCACAAGTAGGCAGTATAGGACAATTTGCAATATGCTCTGAACTGAGACATCACCACTGATTTCATGTTGATTTACATAATAAATAGGAGTTAATAAGTGTTGATGTGTCACACAGAGTGCAAATACAACAAGGAGACATGTTGAACACAGCAGCTTTCTTTCTTCATTTATTACTTTCTTACTGTAATTGTATTATTATGTACGGGCCTATTGTCATCATAACCCCATTAATCAAATGTATTTATAGGATGAATACAAAATTTGGATGAACTAATATGAAGTCGTAAGTAACATAAATTTGTGAGTAACTAATATTAAGTTGTGAGTAACCTCATTTTGGTGTGGCACAATGTAGGACAGTGCGCTTTGGTATCTTTTGCCATCCAAAGAGTAATGTTATGTGAGCGTAACACAGAACAGCTCAAGGTAGAACCAAGGTCAAACCAGGAAGCTTAAACTGTTTTCAGACGAGAATTCCAGGGAACGTCCAGACAAAGGGATCTGAACATTCTCTGGAGTTTGCCATTTCACACATGAACAACTCTGCTGGAGATTCTCCAGTCAGACACATTCACAACAACACGAAAACCTGAGTGTTCAGGTCGGCAGGATGTATTGTATTAATTCTGCAGCAGAGATCATGTTTTTGTTAACAGCATATTGACACAGGCGTCGGCCCTTATCCCTGAAAGCTCTCTTGACTTCTCTACATGTACAGCCCCTCTTTTTTATCCTGAGATCATTTGTTTTCGTTTTTTTCAGTTTGGTATCCAGGAGGCTGGCTGGAATTTCGGGAGTCTCTCACTCTTACGTTTGCATTCTCACATATATACACCTGTTACGAAGAATATCTGGAGATTATCCGGAGTTCGGTGCCTGTCCAGAGGAAGCTTTAGTGATGTGTTGGTGCGTTTAATCACTAGAGATGAAATCTCCTATCAGACATTTGAGGACAATAATACGTTATTCACCCCCCGCCCCTCTTTCTTTTCATGAGTGTGTGTGAGTGTGTGTGTGTGTGAGTGTGTGAGTGTGTGAGTGAGTGTGTGAGTGAGTGAGTGAGTGCCTCAGGCCATGAATCCTCGTCAAACCAGTCTGACAGGACAAAATGCTTCTCCTGTTCCAACAGCACACATCACTGCACCGTAAACAACTCTGTCAAGTTCCCTTAAACACCCTTCCTCTCTCTCTCTCTCTCTCAACATGAAGCTGAAAGTTAAAAGAGAATAAACAAAGAAAACCACGTATGAAGCTTTTATTGACAACATCAGCTTTAGAGTTCAAGACGAATATGATTAAAGATTGTAATTGTTTCAATCATTAAGAGGTCGTGATGTGTCTGACCCAGTCTTTGTGAGGAGTCTCCCTGGAAAAGTCAAACGCACTGGATGATGGGACATGCCGCAGCACGTCAGGTAGGCGCAGTAAGAATGTTATCCGGACAGCAGGGGCCGCGGTGATTGGCTGAGAGAGCTGTCAGTCACCGGGAAGCGGCGGGCGCACCCAACCGACACATCACATGCAGGGGACACCGACAGGTTTCGACGCAACTTCACACCGCGCTGCTCCGGTTCACCTCCCGCCTTATTTAAGAGGAAAAAACCCTTCTTAGAAGAGCCATTACCGGCTGGTTTGAAGAGGACAGGGGTCTCAGTCATGGAGGGGATGATTTCCACTGTGGCTCTGCTGTGTCTGGGTGAGTTTCTCCTGAGAACGAACCTGCAGCCTGTTTCTCACTGAGCTGCCACACCTGTTTGCGCGGAACAGGCCTTTAGTTACCTGGTGACCTGTCTCTTTGGGTTGTTGTTGTATTAAACCTTTTTAAAAAAATAAAAAAATAAATCACACAAAGTAAAATTGACAATGCACAAAATCAAGAAATTATTATTGTTAAATATTAAAATTAAATTTACCTGTAGCCTATGTATTGTTTGCTCTCACCTCCTAGTTTTGTGTTTCTGTTAGAGTATATCGGGCTGTGTGGTTGCATCAAGGAAATATGTTTGTTATTGAGTATTTTCTTGATCGCTAAGAAAATAATTTAGTTGATCAAATTCCCTAATTGTGATTATACTCAAATGTCTTGTTTTTCGTGTGTATTCGATAGAGACATTCAGTTCAGATGTTTCAAGTTTCATTTGTCATATGCAAATTAACACAGGGTCAACAGTATGATGAAAGTTGTTGGACAAGAAGAAACCAGCGGGCTCAGCAGTGCAATAGTTGTATTAATATAAAAGCAAGGGCCTTCACTTAAGGACTATCAATAAATTCCTGCTTGGAAATGGATGATAATTGTGTTGCTTTCAATAGCTTCCATGTCATATGGGTTTGAATTGGTTAAGTTGATGTGACTACCCTGGACAAATGTAGCACACTTCGGTTGGATGTTAGTGCATCTTCTATCGTATATGAATATTCCCAGGTAGCATACGGACGTGGGCCACTTCGGGCTATGATGTGGAACTTCTGGCCAAAATGGATGTGAGCCAAAAGTTGCTAATTTATAAATATGTAAATGTGTCCCAAATATCCCAAAACAGTCATGGGCCTTTTGGAGCAAACATGCAGTGCTCTCAGCAAAAAATGGTGTTGCTATGGCTTACCTGTGGCCTAAATCTTTCAAACATGAGCGGACCGCCCAAGTGCCATCATTCCCTGCAATATCTGGGCCGGATGACGGTGCCAAAACTATTTTGTTATGTGGGGTAATAAATTAAAAGATGCACCATAATCCAATAAAACAAGGTGTGGCCTATTTGCCCCATGTCCCAACACATGCTTAAAGTCAGTGGTTCTCATGACATGGAAGCATTGAAAAACATATTTGAAAAAAGAAAATAATATCCATGGAAAATAGTCTTCCTGCCCACGCTGGACACTTAGTGAGAAACTGCCACTACATCCAGAGCAAATGTCGAGTACCCAGTATAAATCACCTGGAACAGCTTCAACCAGTTTCTGTTGTGTGTGCGTGTGTGTCTGTGCGTGTGTGGACGAGAGGGTGGGGCGATGAGGTTTTGTGTGAAGTTCAGTTTCCCAGTCATTCGCAGCAGAGCAGTGTTCATAAGATACTAACCTCATCATGCAGATTGCAGTCAAGTGTTTTTATTTGATAGACAATTGCTTGCATATGACTATAATCAATTTATCATTACTTTTCAAATCTGTGACAGTGTGGTCCAGCGTCGGAGCCCTCCAGGTAAACATCCCACAGGACCAATATGAGTTTGCCAGAGGTGACAACATCACGCTACCATGTACCTTTACCCCAGCCTCTGGCCCTACCCCGAAACTAGTCGTTGTCTCATGGTCGGCTGAGGCTGCAACTGCTAACGCTAAGGAGGTCAGTCTCTATAAATCTCTCTAATTATCATCATCCTTTGTTTTGTTCCTCTTTCAATGTTCCTGTGATGCTGTTGTTGTTGTCTAACAGACCCAGATCATCACCTACTACTTTCCTTCTGGAACCACTGACATTAATTCAAAGTATGAAGGCCGAGTGTCTCTGGACATAGACTATGCTTCTGGAAAGGCCAACATGAAGCTGTCCTCCATCACGTTAGCAGACAACAAAGTGTTTGAGTGTCGTCTCCTGATCCCAGGTGATGATGAGGGCAAACCGGCAGACACTGCACGTTTGGTGGTCCTAGGTAAATTTGCATTTGCTTTCAAAGAAAATTGTCTGCTTGTTTGCTGCAGTGAAGTGAAGAAAATAAAGCCCATGTGAACAATGTATGTGTTTTTCATCTTTGTGATACAACAAATACTTTATTCTAAATAATGTCACAGCATCCTCTGTTGAGTTTGGTCTGTCCTTTCCAGAGACATGCAAGTTGGTAGAAAGGTTGTGTGTCTCTATGACCCTGTTCAGACCTGGTATTAACACCCGACCTGAGAGATCCAATCACAAGTAGACAGCATTAGGTTTATGTGTTCACATGTTGCATTGAAGCTGCTTCCTGAATGTGTCTCCACTCATTATTAGATCTCACTTCCCCTTCTTCGTGGTGATCTGTGTTGCTATTGTGCTACATGATCACTGAGAAGAGTAAAAATATTTTAGATTGATTGTGAAACTTAAGCAGTCCAGAAGACGGCTGCAGAGTAGTTGGTCCATCATATGTGGCTCAGGACAAATTTGTGTTCACACTGCAAAAAGAATGCACATGCTTCACAAACCATCTCTCAGCGTGGTCTGGGTAAAAATAACATCAGTTCGTCTTTGCGATCAGAAATGACATCCAGGCCTATTTGCAAATGGAACAGGGAAGTGAGATCCAATCACACACATTAAGGACACATGTATGAACAGAGGAACTTAGGGGTGTCCATTCGAGATTTCTGTATGACCCTCAAAGATCCACATATCGCATGTAATATTTTTTTGCTCATACACCGTGTGCCACAAAAGAAGTTGTTGTTCATTTTATGGACAATTCACAACTCATTTTTATTTCAATTTGTCTAGTGGCCCCGTCCAAGCCCATCTGTAAGATCCAGGGTAAGGCGGAGTATGGCCAGAACATCAACCTGACCTGTGTGTCTGAGGAAGGCTCCCCAACGCCCACATACAATTGGGACAGTCGTGACGTACGGAACACACCTCGTCTTGCCCCACACCCCAGAACCACAGACAGTAAGTATCAATGTGGCCACACTCATGGTGAGGATGAAGTCACGTTCTTCTTTTTGGTAAACTGTCACTTCAATTTTAATAAAAAAGTTTGATGTGTTTAAGTTGAGTGTGTGGCGCTCACAAGAATTTCATTTCAGACACTGTTCAAACATTCAAACGGAGATTTAGTGGGAGTCAAGTGCTAGGAAATAAATCAGAGAATTTAGAGGCTGTAATTTTCTAAGATTTACAGCAAAATCAGGATTTATATTTAATGTAAAGAAGAATTTATACTCTGCAAGGCGTTTGTATATGTAAAGCACATTTCAACAACAAGGCAATTCAGACTGCACAAAAAGCATCATGACAAATTGTAAAAGCAACATAAGAAAATAAGCATTTAAAATATATTAAAAGAGTAAAATACAGCAAAATGGATGTAAAATAAAGTAACAAATAAACTGTTAGAATAACAGTGTAGAGTAAGAAATTAGTAATTATTTAATTTAATAAAAGGCTGTGGTAAACAGGACAATCTCCATCATTGATTTAGTAGAGCTAAGATTTGCAGCGGACCTGTAGGTCTCTGGGAGCTTGTTCCACATATGTGGAGCGTAGAAACTGAATGCTGCTTCTCCAGAAAGCAGACCTCTTCTGGTCTGCATTGTTCACGACGTAGCAGCAGATGAGAAATATAATTTGGCCCTAAACTATTTAGTGCTTAATAAACCAAGAGCAGGATTTTTAAGTCAATTCTTTGACAGACAGGGAACTAGTGTAAAGATCTTAGAACTGGAGTGAGGAGTTAGTGAAGACTGAGTAGCAGAGTTTAGAGGCTGATTGTTTATGGGTTCAAAAAGATTTACATCACCCAATATTTTTTTTACATGAGTACAAGTACATGTAATTGATGCTTTGTATTTCAGAGGGTGGTATCCTGTCACTGTACAATATCTCCAAAGACACATCTGGATTCTACACCTGCACCTCGAGGAACAAGATCCGCTCTGCTACCTGTAACATCACTCTTGCAGTCATGCCACGTGAGACACCTTCTCTTTCTGCTTTTCATGAACAATCTTGGAACTCTAGCATCCCCCACAGTAAATAAATATTGAGAGTAATATCGGTCATTCTGCTTTTTTTTCTTCTTCTAACTCATCTACTTTCAATCCTGCAGCTTCCATGACCTTTGGTTCCACTGCAATAATAGCCATCGCTGTATCTGTCGTTGCCTTGATCGCCCTCATCGTCATAATCTATTGCTGCTGCCGCCACAGGAAGAAGAAGAGAGAGGAGGAATATGCCATGGGGTAAGAATTGTGCACACATTCAAAAAAAATGCAAGCGCAAAGCTGTTGTGATGTGGGTAAAGATTAAGAGTTTGAGGTTCATAGGCAGAGAAATTGAAAGTCTTTTGTCTTCAGAGACACAGGCTCTGAGAATATTTAGAAAAAGAGAAACTGCCATTGCCATGTTGTTTCACTGTATGCCTCAGTTAGCAGAAGTAGGTCAAAGGGAGAATTCAACTGCACAGCCAAAGGGTCAAATATAACTCAGATAACTCAAAGATCAGATACAAGTTGGACTGGTGCTCAACATGTAGAACTGAAACAAGTACAGGTTAAAGTCTGCTTTTTTAAAGAAGGCAGAGTCACACAACCTGTCACAGAACAAAGAACGGTCCATTCTTGCTTAAAAAAAGAAATACTTGTTCCGTTAGAGAAATCATCATTAACCTAATAACCTCATCTGCTCCCAGATTTCTTCAGCTACATTTGTTCAGACTGTGTCAAACAACAACACAAATTTCCCTTAAGAAATGCACTAAAACAAAACTCTTCCCCCATCTAAATAATGTGTGTCCACTTTCCAGAGTCCGAGGGGAAGAGTTCCACGACAAAGAGCCACCAAAAAATGGTAAGAGTCGCCAAGCTGATAGGGAGGAAGACCCAAATATTGATCGTGACCCCAATGAGGAACGAAGCGAGCGAGGCTATGACAGTCGCAGGGATTACGACGATCGGCGCAGCGATTACGACGATCGGCGCAGCGACTACAACGATCGGCGCAGCGACTACGACGATCGCCGCAGCGACTACGACAATCGCCGCAGCGATTACGACGATCGCCGCAGCGACTACAACGACCGCCGTGACAAGTACAGCGATCGCAACGAGCGCTATGACGACGAGCCGAGCTCCAATGACCGCAGAGACCGCCGCAATGATGATGGTGCCATTTACGATGAGCCCTATGGTGATGATCGGGATCATGACAGACCACCTGTGCCAAACAATAAACCACAGAGGAGGGATTATGACGACTAAGGACTCCAATCTGAACCAACAGCTGTCTTCTATCTTCTACTTCACACCTCACACTGTGATCTAATTGGTTCAATCAACATTTTGACTCAGTAGACCTAAAGCTATGACATAATTAGCTCAACAAATGGCAACATGTATAGGCTACTAGACTTAAACATGATCTGTTATCACATGTGGTGGAAAGGTCTTAGGTTGTGGGATAATACCATAATGTAATATAGATGTGACTGGAAGAACGAGACTCTGAGGATCAGTTGGGGAAGGACAGGAAATGAAAATGGCGTCCAAAAAACCTCATGTGAAATCTAATTCACATGTAGTGGGTGGGTGGGGTCAACAGTTACAATCCCATTTAGGCTACATCCATAGTACTACGTTTTCATTCGAAAACACTTTAGCATTTCTACAGATGTGCCTTGCATCCACACTCATCTGGAGTTTTACAGAAGTTAAAACGTTGAGGTTTGGAAACGCTGCTGATTGGGTCTTTTCAGTCATGATGTAGTCTTCGCTGATTCGTCAGGCTCTTACCACATGACCCCCTACCAGTGTAGAATGCAACATGGAGAACAAATTACAAGCGTTGCTGACCCTGTCCCTGCTAAAAGCTGTTCTGCAGTTAAATTCGAGCAATTCTGCTTTACGCCGGCACACGCATGTCCAGTGTATGCGAGTTGTTAGATGATATGCCTTTTCAAGGGCGTTTGTATGGACGGCCATTAAAACTGGGGTCTGCAAGTCGAGGCAAAACGTAGTAGTATGGATAAAAGCTTAGTTAAGGTACAAAATCTGTATCTTTGTTTAGCAGCAAAACTCACATCATGCAAATTCCACAGATCCCCAAGAACCATATGACTTTTATACTATATACCTGTGTGTGTGTGTGTGTGTGTGTGTGTGTGTGTGTGTGTGTG